CGGCTTTTTTGAGGTTTATTGGGGGATGCGGCCCGCTGGAATATTGGACCGCTGTCGGTCGGAGAATCTGAGCTACTGGCGTCTGCGGACTGAGAGGGAGGAAGCTCATCTGGAAGGAAAAAGCATCAGTTTAGTAGGAGAATAGAATCCTGAATGAATAAAAGAACAAGTTCGGAGCCTAAAAAAAACATCCTGGAAAGACGCTGTCAAGATGAGGACCCACACTGAGAAACAATAAACAAACTTGTATGGGACTATTTGCCTGAGGGCCACAATATATCATCTAATGCCTATAAAGAATGGTAGTCCCAGTAATGAGTTTTAGGTTTTGCAACATCACTTTTATCAGTTATTTTATTGTTTATATAACTGTTTATGGCAGGAGAACTCTGAAACTGACAAAATATGTAACATGTCTCCCAGTACAAGACTTCTCATAACATAATGAATTATTTGTGCCAGTAATAAAGAGAAAGAATGTAGCAATAGGAAATGAGAGAGGGATGACACTGTGGCATACATTCTGCAGTGTCTGCTTTTCAGCACGCTGTTGCTTACTAGAATATATAGATGCCCATGTACAGACAAACAGTGTACATAAACATAAATACTTTTTAAAGAAGGAAATTAATCCAAGATCTCTAGTCAAATGTTGACAATGAAAGGGTTGTTTCCTAATATTTGACCATCCAAACAAAGAAAAGGATTTACAGTTTTGGTTGATCTTTTCTTACCTGTAACATTGTCACAAAGCCATGGTCGCCTTGGATACGATTTCATTGAAATCCCTGCCGCCTTCATATATCCCTGCATTCATAGAGAAACATAGAAATCCTCACATACTTAGAGTTCATTGAATTGAGACAGAACATATAATATGAACATGTACGTTTGCAGAATTATTGCTTACATTTTGGACATAAAGTTACATAGCTCAAAATACTGTAATGTTGCTGTTTCTTTCATATTTCAACCTTTTTTGTGATTATGCTGACCTGCAAGTGGCTTCAAACATGTCAGTGCGTGAGTATGTACATGTTTGCAGAACTCACACTAAACTTGCTGTCTCTCTTTCCTGGTGTGCTGGCCAGAGTGACAACAACATCTTGAGGCAGTTCCAGGTTGATTCTCTCTTCACTTTGTATTGGTAGAAGCACAGCTTCTTGGCAGTCAACAAAGAATACCAGTCTATCGGTGTCCAGGCTCACAGCCAACTGCACCCACTCCTCCCTGGAGAAGGGGTTTCTCCCGGGGAACTGAACGCTGACAAGGCCCCGAGCTCCTCCTCCAGCCCGGTAGTCCAAACGTAGTGTGTGATCGAGGGTGGAGGAGATGACTTGAAAAACAGGCGAGGATCCAGAGGAGAGAGAAAGAAGAGTGGCAGTTGAGCCTGGCGCCTGATGCCCCACCAGATGCACCCCCATGCTACCCCGAAGGTTGGAGTACAACAAGTTGGAATATTCAGCTGGAAGAGTCAGGTACGGAGCTCTGGGACGTAATTTGTAAATCACACTGCCGGGACTCTGCAGCCTGGTCACACCGCTCATGTGGTGGGACATGTTTAGGGCTGCCAGTAAGTCAATCACTAGGAAAGAGAAAACATAAACTTGTGACAAACATATACTCATATTCATCATACACATCAACAGGAGGTCATGCTCTGCATAATAAGGAATGTCATGGTTTTTGGGCTGTGTTGAATGGGAGTGTGTTAAATCAGAATGAAACCTTTCATCTGCTGGTTACACATGGCTGCCAAACTGACCTCAAACAAAACAGCAACAAACCAGCATGGTACAGCCAGTCACATCTGTCTGCCTCTCAATTATTGCAATAGGACATCTGATACAACTCTCTAAGCTTAAACTGAGCGTTACATTTGCTTTGGTTGATATGATACATTTTGAGTACCCCAGTTGTGGGAAGAAGCTTTGTTCAGGTAAGTTACATTTGACTAATGCTGATTACTTGCATTTAAATATTACTATAGCTATAGTAATTTTGCAAATAAGGATTATGCATGCAAAAAGCTAATAGAAAACTAGGGTAAACTATACCCAAAATCATGAGTTGATATGATCTTGGCTACAACACAACAAATAAAGTTGCCAATACTTACACATAATTTATAAGTGATAATAATAATAGTTCAATACCATAATATGTAATGATGTGTAACTGTTCTGCGCAATCATTGCTTACTATAAAAAAACCTTCAACTTTATCTAACTCTAATTACTTTCAACAAAGTAAAATATTTCTTGTTCACATGTCTAATCTCCATCTCAAATCAAAAGTCTAGAGCAAAATACACAATATAAAACCTATACAAATGTTGACCAAACTACGAACACTGCAGTAAACTCACCATTCTCGTGTTTTGGACTGGAGTTCCCCTGCACAGACAGCGCAAAGACACACAGTAAATGTATCTCCAGCAGCACGAGCCTCCTCAGTTTGCTGCTCTCCATTCTCCAGACGGAAACAATGGAAAGCCTGGTCTAAGATCCAAACAATTTATGCAAAAGGCATGGTATTCATCGTCTTTTTAACCTTATTCTGATGACATGGCTGTGCGTTTAGGATTCGCGAGCAGATCTTTTCCAAAGAGCGCGCGGGGAAACATGAAACATCTGGATGCAGGCAGGGCGTCACTTCTCTGCAGTCACACACTCACATTCCCCCTGGGGCAATATCTACAGCACATTTTCACTCCATGATAACAAAGGAGAAGAGTTTGATGATTATTACTATCCTTATTATTATTATCCAATGTGCTTGTTATTTCCGTTGAGAGAGAAAGAGAGAGATAGAAAATATGCACGCCAGCTAAAAAGTTCAGGTGTGCAGTGCGAGTGAGGTCACTGGCTCTTCTTTGTCTTGTTTAGTTTGCAGTCCCAGATGGATAGCTGTGGGTGAAGTCTTTTCTTCCCCTGTTTTCTCTCATTTTGTCAGGCAAAGAAAAAAACATCTCTCCACCCATCACTGCTTGGTGGTGTTGATTCCCAAAGACCCCGCTTCGGCAATCAGCTAAAACCTGGTCTGGAGGCATGGAGAGGAGCCACAGAAGCAGCAGCCAAAACTGTGTGTGTGTGTGTGTGTGTGTGTGTGTGTGTGTGTGTGCGTGTGTGTGTGTGTGTGTGTGTGTGTTGTGTGTGTGTGTGTGCGTGCGTGCGTGCGTGCGTGCGTGCATGCATAGATAGAGAAAGAAAGAGAGAGGGCGGGGGAAACACAAGTAGTCATGTTTCACTGCTTTGGAAATGGTCCCAGTGTTCGTCCCACTGTGCCCCCCCTCCCTTTCCCTTATGTTGTTGTCCTTCTTTTCTGCTGTGTTTATTATTTCAGGGCTTCTTTTGGACTGCACGATCAGAGGCAATATAGCTAGAATAGATGATGCACACAAAGACAGACATGTGTCCCTCTGTCTTGTTGTAGTATTTTAGATGTGATGATAGGACATCCAGGTGTTTCCTAATGAATGCCGCAGACTCGAGTCCCTCATCACTCCAGATTGTTTTCCATACATATTGAGATTATATCTGTTGAAGGAGATCCAGGTTTAAAGACACCCATATTTAAAAAACACAATTTTAACTAAGTTCTTCCCACCCTCTGCCAACATACCAATCTAAACCACATACGTGACTCATGCCAGTTAGACTGTAATAATCACAATTAGGAAGTTTTCCCACAGGACATGGTCTCTTTGCTTGCTTTAGTTTTCAACATAAACTCAAACCTTCTGGATGGCATTGAAGTCTCAGGCGGAGAGCGCTGATTGAAGACAATGATAAAGCAGGAGGAACTTGCAGCAGATTTTTGTAAAAGGATTGAATCTTTAGTGTATAATCAAGCTTCCTAAAGAAGGTACTTCAGGGTAAAATGTTTATCATTCAGTAATGACTCTAAGAAGAACTCAACAAACTAAAACAAAGTGTTACTCTCTAACCTACTTTGTAGCCAGTAAGCCTTCCACTTGTGTGGAAAAGGCAGGTTTGTGTTACATTCGGACTACAAAGGGTCAATGTGCAGGTCAGTTAAACCACTTTTTACCATTTTAAAATTTACAATTTACCACCAAGATAAAAGGTATAGTCATAGTTTTAGATTCATCTTCCTTCACTAATGTCCAAAGAGTCATTTTTAATCGATAAAGGAAAATGGTGAACTGTCTGATGGTCAAACATTTCCTATAAAGAGTCATAAGTCTGAGTCTTAATTTACTGCATACTGAATTTACTTTGTTTTATATTAATTGGGCAACACTCATTGCTAATATTGCTTTTATTGTAGTGTCTGAGTAGTTAATGCATTCATTTGTCCAGGACATGGTTAAACCGTACACCCCAGCACGTGCACTCCGCTCTGCATCAGCCAAACGACTCACTGCACCCTCACTGCGAGGGGGACCCAAGTTCCCATCACCAAAAACACGTTGGTTTGCTATCCTGGCTCCAAAATGGTAGAATGAGCTCCCCATTGACATCAGGACAGCAGAAAGCTTACACATCTCCGGGGAGACTGAAAACTCATCTCTTTCGACTCCACTTCGAGCGATAGAATTACTAACAAACTGCTAACAGAGCACTTATATACTAATACAATTTGAAATGTTTGGCTCTATGAAACCTGATGTACTTATATGATTCTGTTTTCTTCAAGGTTGTGTCTTCCTGGTCGAATGTACTTATTGTAAGTCGCTTTGGATAAAAGCGTCAGCTAAATGCAATGTAATGTAATGTTATTTATATATTTGAATGGTCATGCAAACCTTGCCATAATGAAGTATCTTCATATTTACTCACATGACTACATGCAATAAACACAAAATGCATGAGACAACGGTTTGCTTCATACAATATGCATGACATGTGAGAGATATGTGTGATACAACTATTTCCAATGAAGTGTAGTGTTTGAGTTACACTTCATGTGATAGTCTCCATTCAGTAGAATTAACTATCCTCATCAAAGAATGATGCCATTTCAGATAATGCAGTTGCAAAAAGCCAACTATCATCGATCAAACATCTCCCATCACCCTTTTAATCATATCTCTGCTGACATCCAGTGGCCATGTCTAATCACAACAGCACAAATCAACAAGTCTGTTCATCTTTTTGAATCCACCCTGCTACTGTTGATAATATGTGAACACTGTGAAATACTACAAGCCTAAAAATATGATCTGAGAAGTGCTTATCCGCTGCACTCACTGTCAGAAACACAGACTGCAGTGTTCAATGTTTCCCTAAGGCAAACTTTACATCTCTGCCCCCCTCCTTAGTTTTTCTCTGACAATGGACAACACTTACAAGCCTGCACTAACCAAAACATTTCTGGAGCCAGACGAAAGCCATCTTTCATCGCAGCAGCCCTGAAGATATGTGCAGACACACACAATTAAGTGTGAGTCAGTGTGTCTCTGCCTACTCCACATGCTTGGACATGTTGGAAAAAGGATGTGGGTTAATCTTTAGAGAGTGAACAGGCGATGTTTTATAGGTAATCCCTTGTCACTTCCCATTAGTTGGTACGTGCCGCTAATTGAACAAATCCAACAGGCGAAAGCTGTGTAGCCAAAGTACGTACACTTTAAACAAGTTCTAACCTATAACATTCACTGAGCTGTACATATCAAATTAAAGTGTGATACAAGCAACCAAGTCCTACTTTACTCAACAAAATAACATTTCCTGGTTTGCTCACAACAACTATAGCTTGACCTACAGTTCACTGGACAATATGACTGCTTTAACATTTACATTGTACAACAAACTGCTTATGAAGGTCAAGTGTTTTTGTCCCAGACAAAGCTCTTACATTTTCTTCTGACACCGGTCTCTGACCTCACCATCAGGTTCTAGCCATCTCCTAAAATGATTGGCTCAGTCTTATTCCCTGACTAGATAAGCCCCGCCCTCAGGTTTTAGTCTCTGAGCTGACTTTGATCCAAGATAACACACCATAAGGTGCTGTTTGCTTTCTAATGTGTGTGGGGGGGATCAGTTTGTGTGGGTGGCTGGTGTTGTCTTTTGTTGAATCTGTTGTCTAGAAGCCTCAGCTTGTGTTTTTGAGTGGTTCAGTGGCTTTTCTGGGCTTTGGGAAACAGTGACGCTGCTTTCATCATATGTCAGGAGGATATGGAGAATCAAAGACAAGCTGCAGAGGATTTGACAACAACAGGTCAGTCAGCAGAGGTATTATTTGTTCATACCCTTGACAGCTGAGTTTATTTACCTCACATCTGTGTTGTTTTTACAATAGGATGTGGCCCCAAAACCCTGGTAAGCCCCCCTCACCCACTCAACCCTATTGAAACACCTAAATACACAAACAAGCCAGTGCACCCCGGGACTCACAAAAGCATGATAGACATTAATTACATGTTGAATTTGCTTGAAATTAAACTTTAGGTTGAATTCTGTGGTGAAGAAAGCATGGCAAGTTTTTAAACAGATATCTGTAAAAAAAACGTATACTGCCAAGGTTTAATTTTTACTCATCTCATTTATTGTTAGGTCAGGAAAAACATGAAGAGAAACAGGGCTGTAAAAGTGGCCTAGCACTCTGCTAGTCGGCTCTCGTAGCCTGGGGAAAGTCACGCACGAACCCACTTTAAAGGGATTTGAGGGAATTATGGGACAAAGCGAGAGTGTGTACGCTTGTATTTGTAAATTAAGTGAAAGTTTTAACCTAATTATATTCCTTAATATACAAGAGGAAACCGTGTTCTCTCTCCACTCAGAAAGAACTGGTCTCTGAGGCCTGAATCAGCCCAGTAATGGCCCTCAATGAACTGAAATGGAGTTTTGTTCAGGCCAAGGCTCTAGTCCACTCACTGCTGGTCCTCCTGTGTCTGCACACAGCCACAGGTACAGCCACGTCACATTGGTTCCTATCATAGCCAGAATGAATTGGTGTCTTACACTCTGCGTGTGTTTTCATTGGCATAGGAATGTCAGGGTGGGGTGGATGTTTGGATGGTCAAGATGTCTTCACAAAAATCCCAGAAAACAGCCATTGGGGAGATGTTGTTGCTGAGCTCATGGATGAGAGCACAGTGGAGGGGGTTCACTGGAGCCTAGAGGGAAATGATGCTGATTGGTTCTTCTTGGATGAGACAAGCATCCGGCTAAACACATCGGAAGAGAAGGTCCTTGACCGAGAGGTAACTGAGTTTGGAAATGCCCCCTTATACAATGATCTGAGCTTACTTATAATAGAGAAACCATGAATAAAATGCAAACATTACAAATTGTATGTGTATAATTCTATTTTACTAAGTCAGGGTAGACTGGGGTAAGTTATATCTAAGTTTAGAGCAGACTATCATTGACCCTTACAGCCGTGTCCTTGGAAGGAACACAATCTCTCTTACCAGCACCCTCCTTAGAGCCAGTAGACTTACATCACGTCAGCTGTTAAAGGGTCAACCAGATTAGTAATCTCACTCTCTTAGAGTCTTTCAATTGATCTACTTCTGCATCCTTGTAAATACATGATTTATTCTAAAAAACATCCAGGTCAGCTCAGAGTTTCAACACTGCATCTTCATCAAGCAGGCCGAACTTGGCTTTTAGTCACAAAGAGGGTCTATTTGTAGAATTGTCTTATTGAACACAATTTGTACAAGAGCACCAACTCATCCCTCCAGACATGTCTCCATAAATTATTTGAGAAATTATAAGATTTTTGATTTCTTCTTCTTTATAGCCTTATAGTTCTTATACTGTATTTTTCTACACTTTCTATTAAGTTGTTCAAATTGAGGTCAAAAACAAAACAAGTAAAGACTAGGCAATCATGAGAATGGACACAAATAAAAAACATGTTCTGTTTGTGTTGGAATGTTTGCTAACATAAAATAAGGGTCCTTTTTGTGTCTCTCATCTCTCAGGCTCAGGGTCCTGTCTTAATGGCTGAGTTGTCCTGTTATGAGGACGACACACTTCAGGTACGCTTGTCCCCTTCATGTTACCCATAACTTTTCAGTGAACCAACATTCAAACCTCTAAGTTGTGTTGTTGTTATAGAGTGTGTACAGGATCGTGGTGGAGATCCTCAATGAAAATGATAATACCCCTGAGTTCACAGAGGACACTGTCACGTCTCTTACTATCAGTGAGGTATGGCATGTTTACAAACCCATGCATGCACACACTAAACATACTAAATGAAAGTGCTAAGATGTTTCTCTGTGTGTTTTCCAGTTGACTCCAGTGAATACTGTGGTGTTTACCGTTAAGGCCTCTGATGCAGATAATGACAAGATCATTTACTCTATTGACCAGGCATCAGTGAGTTATACTCTTTTACCTTTCACACTCTAAATCACAAAGAAAAAAACACCACGAGAGAAAGCACCATTGTTATGTGATTTTGTGTATATATTTTGCAGCCTGATGCAGAGTACTTCAAGATTGACCTCCCCAACAGCGGAGAGGTTATTCTGTCTAAATCTCTTGACTATGAGACCAAAACCCAGCTGACTGTTACAATCCATGCCTCCGTAAGCTATCTACACTTCAGAGTAAAAGTAAAAGTATCTACAAATGAAATCTATTCCTATGCTTCTATAATCCTTCCAATGTAAGAACTGTTGACTTTTCTCAGGAAATGGACACTGCTGAGCACTTCAACACCAGCACCACATTAACCATCATCGTCCAGGATGGAGATGACCAATACCCAGAGTTCCTGCCCTGCAGGCTGCTCTTCCAGGATGAGACCAGTCGCATCTGCACCAGCCCTGTGTACACAGTCAATGTCACAGAGGGGGAAGAGGTCTGTTGCTTAACCATTCCTGAATCACACCACACACATATCACAATGTTAAACAAGATTGTGCATTTATGATGTTCATAAAATAACCACTGCCTTCATCCTGCTAAACTTCACACAGATGCTACCATTAGATATGTAGTGGTTGTGTTTTCATTAAGAATCTTCAACCAAGCATTAAGACCTTTATATATACAGTCTATGATTAAGACCCATACATGTGTGTTACGTTGCAGGACGTGGTGTTGGACTTCTCTCCTGGTCTCATTCATGCAGTGGATGGAGACAGAGGACTCAGCTCTCCACTTAGCTATGTTATTCTCTCAAGTACCACACACACACCAATGCAAGTTCATATTTAAAATCTGCGTACATGTGTACATCTGTAACTCTGGTTGTGTTCATGCTAGGAGACGATGATGGCCGTTTCCTGATGGACAGAGATACGGGGGAGGTTAAACTGATGCGGGGGGTTAAAGACAGACTCACAACTCCAGAGCTGCATCTACAGGTCATGGTAAGACTCACATACTCAGTGTTCATGGTAAGACATCCACTCTGCAATAACACTTTCTTACTCCCAGTAACAGTCTCACTGCTCTGTTTTTCTTCTGTCTCTTTGTCTTGTCCCAGGCATACCAGGACGATGACCCCAGGAAGTATTCTGTCGCTACAGCTTTGGTCCGAATTTTGGCAGTGAACCAGTTTCATCCAGAGTTTGACATGGCTGAATATAAAGGCTTTGTAACTGCGACAAAGAGCCCTGCCTCTCTGGTCAACACCTACGGCAGCAAAGCACTGATGTTACACGTGCAAGATAAAGACTTTAACAATGTACATATTCCACTTTACTCCACACACGGGACATATGCATGCATGATGTATTTGATTTATGATGTCACCCATCAGTTCCTTTCTCCTCACAAATTGACAGGGTTTCAATCCCAAGATCCACTTCACCATCAGTCCTACATCCAATCACACAGACATCTTCCAAATCACACACGAGGGTCTTTTGATCGCCAGGACCAATCAGCTCAAACCAAAACAGAAACACTTTGTAAAGGTGAGCCTCAGAGACGATAACGGGGGTCTTTAGATTTAGGCCTCCAACAATTTGACTGTTGAACTTTACATTTTGTTGGCTAACATTTCACATCCTTTTTTTCTCTAAATAGATAAGTGTTTGGATAAGCCGTCTAATGTGCATGAAAGCTTATTGAGATAGTGAGTCCATAATTAGGCTAACCACAAGCGCTGGTATGAAAATGTAACAACCCAGAAGTGATAATTCATTTTTAGCATGCATGACAACATACCTGTTAATTAGTGTGTTTGTTTAATATAATTATTCAAATGCAATAAGAAAGCCAATTAACAAAGATTGCACTTAAATAATTTTTCACTGTTTCAGCTTAATTGGAACTGCAAGGTTGGAAATAAATTAAAACACTGTTTTGTAAATTAATCAGCGGTAATGTAAAAAAATGTTTTATAAATTAATTGACCAAAACATTCCAATCAACAAGCATGTCTCTAAACTTACCAAATATAAGCCTGAATTGATATTCATGAACATGTCTGGTTGCAAAAACTAAATATTACATTAGTGAAGCCTTCAGTGAAGCCAGTTCATCAAATTGCCCAACCCCTTATTTTTCATTAAAATGTAATTATAAATAAAGACATACAAAAAGATGGTGATGATGTAATAAAATTCAACATACTTTGCAGGTAGCTGCTGTAGACCAGGAGTCGGGTGACGCCACCTTTGCTACTGTAGTGGTGGAGGTGTTATCTGAGGGACAATCAAGTAAGGACACACTCTGCACACTGCCATTCAGTGCTGACTGCTGATCAGTCTGAACATCTGTCTGTCTGTACTCTGCAGTCCCTCATAGTCCACTGATGGATGACCGTGTGATCGGCTGCACCCTGGGCAAGGCGTTTTTTCTCAGCATGGTGTTCATAACTGTAATTGGAATTATAACGACACTGGGGATGTGGCAGAAGAAGAAGAAAAAGGGAATGAGGAACCCGCTGGAGAGAGGCTGCGTGGCCCAGGGAAAGCACCGCAATGTGGTGAGAACATTCAGCTATATAATCATACATACCAATTTTTGTTGATCAGTAAATGTAAGTTTCTTAAAGATTCTCTCCTGCATATTCTCCCACAGAGCTTACGGTGGTTCCAACTGGTGAGTTATTTATTGACTGTTAATGCTATTTCATCAGCGGATGGAGTTTTCTCAGTTGTCATAGAGATGATAGTTGTTTAGACGTGACCTAAGTTTGGAATATAAAATATTAACCTAATTTACAGATGAAGGCCACAAGATGTGGTCAAAAGCTTCAGGCAGAACAAAGACCTTGCTTTGAGAGTTTTCTTGCCAAACTGATGTTTTCTAAGGAATACATTTATGTCATCATCTGAGGCGCCTCATAAGTCTGGAAATAAAAATACTCACATAGTCATTGATTCTCCCACTCATTAAAAGTTAGGCTGCCTGGTTGTCAGAGGGCCTGGCAGTATCTACAAATGTCCCACTAAAACCAGGATCATTCGCTCACTTACTTTCTGCATTACAAAAGTGGTTTTCATTTCCACTGTGGTTTCTTTCTAGGCAAGTCACCGTAGTGGCATGTCAAACACAGAGGAAATACCATACAACAATGACGAATACGGAACCTGCAATCCCTCCTTCAGCTTCACAGACAACCCTGGCGTCTACACCCACCAAGACCTCCCGTCTTGCCAAGGACCCGTTCCACCCAGAACGACCGCTGCACCCGACACCAGCTTCATCCCAGCTGAATCTGCGCTCAGCCCTGTGATCTTCAACAATGTTTTAACACTACCCCAAAGGTCCTATAGTTTACCTACACTTCACCCGGCCTCTGAGGAGGGGAGCCCTACACATACGGCTCAAATGTCTTCTCCATCTGAAGAATACTCACCCACTGATACATCCATTGACCTCACTGAGGATGTACCTATCATCAGTCCTAGCCCTGCAACACCTGATAGCACAGGCTCTCCACCCTTCACCTGTCCTGATTCACAAACTACAAAAACAACAACCAGCATTGACCCCACTGACTCCTTCACCAGCCAGTCTCAGTCCAGTGTGCCATTCAGTCTTACCCAAATTGCTTCAGCAGAAATAGACAAACCCTTTCGCAAGCCTCGTGTGAAGACGCCTCCATATTCACCTTTACTGTCCTCGCCACTGGCCAAGCAGATGAGGACATCCCCACCTACCCCAGAGCATGCACCTTTAAAAGCCAGGCTGGTACTTATAGATACTTCTCCCCTTGATACACCTCCAGAAACACCACAGCGACCATCTTTAACTCCAATCACAGAGGGAGACCAACCCTCCACATCACAGGACTTCACAGAGCGCTCAGGAGGGGCTGCAGGTGCCGGGACTCAATCTCAGGTCATGAGGCACTTTACAAACTTTGGGAAGAAGCAGGGCGGCAGCGGGGCGAGGGATGTGGCTGATGACGGAAATCCTGGAAATAAGGATGGAGGCAAGCACAAGAATGAGGATGATGATGATGATTTGGAGTCAGATGAAGAAGAACTGTTAAGAGTGATGGCTCGTTGTAATCCTGTTTTTATCACATTTAATACGTGATGTCACTATAATATTGTAAATTGAGAGTGAAGTGGGATACAACAGAGAATGAAGGAGATAAGGAGAAGTAGATGACACAGGCAGCGGACATGTCATCAGAAAAATTAAATGCACAAGTGCACACAATGTATACTGTAACAAAAACATAAGCATTCAACAACACACATTTATAACACATAATGTTGTTCCATTTAAACCACATTAGCCTAGGTGACAGGAATGAGTGACTATGACTGCACAGTACAGGGTTAAATCAAACTTATCAGTATAAATTGCAAATTGAAGTATCAAGGATAGAATATGAACTTTGCAAGGTTAGTACAAAAAGCCAGAAGTAATCAGTTTATATATATATTTTTTTTTTTCTTTTAATGTTTACAAATTATAATGATATTGTGTGTGTGTCTTTTTTATTAAAAGTAAATCTACATGAAATGAAAATGCTGCACTTCTCTCTATGGGATTAAAGTTTATTGCAGTTTCCAAGTACTACTATATTTTCAAAACTGTCAAATAGTGAACACCTTTCATACTTATAGGCCTAGTTTGTTATGCCTCCATTATTGTCTTTAAACATGAACTAAATGTGACCCGCCTACCAAAGCAGAGAAGTTAGTTTACCCAACATGATAACAAACCCACCTTTCAAGATAGAAACAGAGCTAAGCTCTGTGACTTGAATATGATGCTTAAGTTGGCCTTGAGAGGCAAGAAACACATTCTGGTGATCCATTTTTTGTATATTTAAGTCACTTGAAAAAAATATATAAACTGGTGAAAAAAGACTTTTGGCATTTTACGCGTGTGACTTTGGCCGAAAGAAGCTGCACGTCTACGCCTTGTTCAAAATAGGACTAAAAGCATCCATGTTCCTGGCCAAAAGAAGACAGGACAGTAATGTATAACTAGCTAACACACAACAGTCCAGTGCTAAAGAATTTGAACTGAACTGGAAGGAAATAAACATATTTTTCACCTTGCACAACCTTCCCCCTACAAATTAAATCATGAAAACTATTAAGCTTAAGTTGTGAAAATAAATTACCATATTTTACTCTCTCTTACCTCTCAGGGCTTCCTTAGTTGCTGATAGAGAGGAATACTCTGGGGAAAGTCACAGCAAAGCTTTGGACTAAATGTGTAAAATGCTAACATGTCACCAATGGCAATGCTAAAATGCTATGTTTGGCAGGTCTAATATCGTGTTTCCCGTCATAGCTTTGAATACTAACATAGCATTTTCTAAATAGCAGTTACACATCTGAGACTGATAGGAAATGACATTTAGCAAGTGTTAAGCCATAAAACAAGTTATCGGACACATTTACATTTTTAAAGTAGCTTGGGATAAAATAAAGGGCAGGAAGAGGCTGCATTCATTATGCAGTAGCCTACTGTATTATCATAGGCAAGGCGTGACAGTAGAGTTGTGTTCTTATCCAATTATCGAATCCACACACATTCAATACAAACTTAAACCTTTGAGGCTAAGATTCGTGATAAATAGTATAAGGGAACTGAAATAGAGATAGGAAAGCTTGTGTTAAGATTATCATTAGTTTACAAAAGCATTACATATGTTGTGATGCTTTATGAGAGTCATCAATTAAAAGAGTTAAGACTTGATTTATTAAAAGGGAGAATAGAGGGGAAATAATTCTCTTCAAACACATGGCAAGAGGAAAATGGTCTAAAACAACAGCTCAGAGAACAGTAGGTCAACAGCCTGAAGGAGAGCAGGAAACGGAGCATTTCCTTAAAAGGAATAAAGCTAGAAAGAACAGGGTTCCGATGCAACAGACGGTTTTCAACTTGACTATTATTGGTATGTTTTTATTTTACCATAAAAGCGTGACTAACACCCCATCACTCGTAATAGTCAATGCCATGTTAATCACACATGACAAAGTACTTCAAGTCAAATGAATACAGCAGACTAAAGGCTCCGATTGAAGTTGTTTTTATTGAGACATTCTTCTCAATCACAAAAACTGGACCTGATTGTTAGAGTGCTCAGTTTGCAGACCAACAGCATATTTACAGTAAAGTCTCTAGTGAAAGGGTGACCACTGCAGTGAGCCTGTAAAAAAAACATTGTCATATACATTATAGTATACCATACAAATTCTCAACAGTGGTTATAAATGGTGATAATACAAGCTTAACAAATACATTTAGGAGGGGGAGGTGTTTGTAGGGGGGGGGGGGGGGGGAGAAAGGCTTTTTTTTCATACCACTTACAAAACAGGACAGTTTTTTGATTGGCACACAAAATAGTTAGTTCAGCTGAATTCAACAAAACATAACAAACAAATTGGGAAAAAGGGTCAAGAATACAAGTAATATATGTACACACAGATTCACACGCACACACACACACGCTATTGAGGTTATGAAAAAGAAAGAAGGCAGTGTTGCGGACAAAGCATCCATCAGCCCTTAAATCATAAATGATTGATTCCTTCAACTAACACACAACGCGTCCTTTTGTAGGACCCACAGCTTGTGTTAACATGGATGCTTTGGGGACCAGTATAGCAAACACAGCGTGGTCCCACTGATAATACTGTATTGCACTAGTCCAAATAGTCTTCATCGTCACTGGAATCTAATATTTACTCCTCGTTCCAAACACCTAAGCGGCCTTACCACTTTATGATCAACAAAGACTAGAAAAAACAAAGTACAAGTGAATCTGCAACTACAGTATTAAGTTTGGGCCGATTGTATGATTAGACAGCAGTAGAACAAATTCTACCGTCTAGAAATATGCTCTTCATATTCCAGTGCCTTGCAAGAAAAAAAAAACGTGTGTATACTGCAAAATACAATTTGATCTATAAGGGTTTTATAAAAAAAGATGGCAATTTCATTTAATAGAGAAACCTATTGTCACCTAACACTGCTTGTCCATTGCCTGACCTAGAAACGGAAGAGTAGTGTGTGGAAGCAGAGCAAAGGCTGGCTAAATATCCCAAACCAACACAAACCTCAGCATGAGGTCACACTGTTTATGTGTAGTGTAAGTGTGTGTACAATGGGACACATTCAACAATCAAATAAATTATTGTCCGTGGTTTTGGATTAGACAAGCTCATCTTGTTTGAAAAACTCAAACTGCTGTAAGAGGAGTAAGATGAACACAGTCTGTGGTAGCCGAGGATTTTAGAACTCCTCATGTCGAGTCAGAGCCTCTCCGAAGTCGGTCGCCTGGCTGCCCACAAACAGATCGTACTTATCCACGATTTCTGCTTTGGTCAGACGTCCGTCCTGAAGGAGTGAGATTTAAAAATCACGATAAGCCTTGTATTTGTGTCAGTAGTACACAAAGAATGTTCCCAATATATGGATGTTCTTATTGTCATTATGTTCAGCATGATCCGCACTTGCGTTACTTGATGCAGACTTATGAAAAAGACATCTTATCTCATCTTAAATCACACAATAATAAGGGCTACAATACAATCCGTGGTAAGATTAAAGCTAGTATCGCTTTCATTTATCATACTTTGTAATAGCTGTAAATAGGTCATCATTATCATTTGAAATGTCTTAAAGTGACATGGTCAGTGTTGGCTGCATTACACACCCCAGACAGAAGGACAAGTGTCACTGGATGGCTTGATAATAATAATAATAATAAAATAAACAAATAATAATAATAATTTCAAACATACTTATATCAATATAAACTTGAAGACTTACTGTTCTTCTTTGTTTCAATAATACTGAAATAGTCATTGCGATATCAGACAAATCTAACACACATGTTCTCAGTATTGTGTAGTCCTGCAGTACAATCATTCAAACTCATTTTGAAGTAATGTAAGGCACACCTTTACGCATTCATACTACTTTCCCTTAATATTGAGTAGAGGAAAAATGTGAGGACAATTCCACAGTACGTACCTTGTCTGAATCCGACTCATAGACCAGATGCTTGGCCTCTGCGTCAGCATGGTCGTAGTCGCTGGGCAGGATCCAGTCTCTGGTCTCCTCCTTGTCCATCTTTCCGTCTTTGTTTTTGTCTCTGAATTCATTGAACTGTTCCCTCTCTGTCTTCACCCATTCAGGTTCTGTCGAGTCTCCCTCCTGGTTGTACATGTCCCCTACACCACAGAAAGATGGTGATGATGATGATGATGATGATACAATGCTTCTTTGGAACAAGTTCTTATAGTATTTGGTGTATACTAATTTCATAAGGGTTCCTCCGAAACTCACACTTTTTAACACTGTATTCTTTATCTGTCTAGGTTTGCCACTAACAACAACAACATGTGGTACACAGTGATGATGCTTATATGAAATTGGGCTTTACGAACTCACCTATGTACTCGTCTAAATCAATTAAACCATCTCCATTCTTGTCAATGTCTTCCATTGTTTCCTATCAGAAAAGAGGAAACCACATCGCATTGAAAGGGGTGTGAAGCATAGTTATTGACATCATTAAATCAGAGTTTAATTTCCAAGTAGGTTTCTGTAAGAGTCAAACACGATATGTAAAAGGGAATAATTACATTGTTTGAATTGCATCCACAAACCGTGCTTGTTTTTATGTGAAACAGTGCATGTATGTGGCGCAAGACTACTGTCAGAAAGCATTCTCATAATAAGGTGAAATCAATCTATTTCACGCCTGTGTGTTTGTCACTTACCAACACTACAATGTCCTTCATGTGGTCGTACTCCTCAGGGTGAAGGAAGGCTGTGAACTCCTCCTTGTTTGCTTTCAGGTCATGGTCTTGGTCAGCCATTTTGAATCTCCTCTCATCGCGATCCATCATCTGCCTGTAGCTGAAGCCTTCATCGGGGTCGGGATCATCTGCAAGTCAGAGTTACCAACTTTTTTTAGCATATTGAAGTGTGGCAAAGTAAATGTGTGTCTGTGTCCAAGCAGTACACGGGTCAGGGATATATCAAGTGTATATAAAGAAGATTTCCTGCAGCCGTACCAAGAATGTAGCCATATGTGGCGTTCCTGTACTCTTCCCAGGACACCATATCATCACTATTGAGGTCATGACTCTTCCACTGTCGATCCACATCATCGTAGATCCATTTCTTCTGGGCATGCTTGATCCACCTCTTCATCTCCTCAGCTGTCACATAGCCATCCTTATCCTCGTCTATACGCTCAACCAACATGCTGGTAGGAAATAAAAGAAAGAAACCATCAGCTTCTCTCATACGACATTTAGTGGTGTGTCACCTCATATGAATTTAACTGATCCTAGAGGCCAAACTAGGTATTAACCAAAGAGTCTTCATGTATTCACACACATTTAGAAACAGATTTGTAAGATCTTGCTGTCATCTATTCTTACCCGAGCCTCTCCTTGCTCTCCTCTGGTGTGAGCTGATCAAAGGACTTGGCCTCCTCTTGTCCCAGAAAGGCTTCATGGTCATAGTCAAAGTTTTCGTTATCATCGTGGTCTCGGTTGCTGAGGGGTTCGTCTGGGTGAACACGTTCCTTCTTCTCTGTGGGTTTGCTAGTGGCATACACCACACAGAGAGCAAAGCACATCACAAGTGGTCGCAGCTCCATCCTGTGTATGTGCAAACGTCTAGAAGAGGGGTAATACGAAA